GAGCTATAAAACTTGGTAGTTATATGTAAAATGGGGTGTAGAACAATAAAAGTTAATTAAAAGAGTATGATAAAAAGTACAGTTTTAAAAAACTTGAGTTTTGTTTTAGCAAAATTTGGTACAAATGATCGTCAGGAAGAGTTAGTGAATTGTGTCTTTACGATAGCAAATATGAAGCAAAACTTTTACATAACAAAAATCTTTCCATTAAGTTTCATTATACTGAGGTGATGGTCGTGGCCAAATACATACGATGTTTTCAAGTTTGCATTGTTTCCACTGACCATTTCAAAAATTATATTTTAAATAAAGCTGAAAAAGTAAAAGGTCCTCAAGTTCAATAGGTTGACTCCAATACTTTTGAAGAGGTGATTGTACAGTTTGTTCAGTTTTATTATCTACTGAGAAACTTGTTTTATTGTTATTTCCAGTGCCACGAAGCTATCTTGAAGCATCTTTGTTAAGATTTAAACTAATAAATTAACAACTTGAGTGGTAAAGTGGAATGCCAAGAAGGATATGACATGTTTCTTGTGCAAAAATATTATGCTCTGCAATGGTATGTAGCAATAATCTTTGAAATACACCAAGAGATGAATCATTGTGTTTACTATTGCTAAGAATTTGATTTAATATCTCTGAGAAAGCAGCAAACCGTGGCTTTAATTTACTTGCATATTTAGATATATATTGTAGAGCAGTATTTATATTAAAAATTGGTTTTAAATCAATATTTGCACACCAGCCCTGAAGCTGAAATCAATTATATGGATTAATATAAAGATCATTTCTTGCCATAATTAGCTTGGGTTGGTCATTGTTATTACGTAAGTATGTGGCTTTTGTAGTTTCTTTAGGATATCCAAACCTGCAATGTTGTTAGTTTTTTTTGTTTACTTAAAAGCAATATAAAGGACTGCAATGTATATGTCGTTGCAGCTTGTTAACTAATTCCATATAATCTAGCAAGTCATCGTGTATTTCATCATGGGGTTTTTGGCAAGGATGGCGATCAGGTGTAGGAGCATCAAGTCCAGGGTTAATTGTAGTGACTAATAAATCCAGATATTGTATTACATTACACATTAACTCTTTATTCTCTTTCATTCTTTTCTATTTAATAATTGGAGCATCTTTTATTTTTCCAATGCCATGTATATGAGTACTACCACGATGTTGCCACTCAAACCTATACCACCAGTTTTTAAGATTCTATTTAGGAATTAATACTTGTTCTAAAAATAGTTTAAAGTGTTTTTCGAAAAACTATGTGGCAATATGTGGATTGTCAATTAGATTTTGGTGTCTTTGTTTGTTTGCCTCTTGTTTTGTTGCCGGTTCTCATTATATGATATAAGTTCGTGAAGTTCTGGCCAATACAAATCAGCAGTACTAAAAGTAAAAAAGATCATCCTATAAGATCCCAATTGCTTAATCATGTCTGTAAGTTCCATCTGTCTTTTGTTCTAAAATTGGCAAGTTCTATGCAAGCACTTACCGAATCGTATAATTTTATCTGCTATATGACTATTACTATTAAACATTTCTTGAATTTCTTCAACAGTTAGCTGTTCTCCATTTAAACTTTGCTTAATATACATTTTTCCTTCTTGTAGAGCTTTCCACCTAATCTGTGAATTTAGTGCAAAATATCGCCACCAAGTGTGGCGAGCAAATTGGCTATCCTTATATTTTAGCAAATGTGCAAAGTATTTAGCCGGCTTAATTTCTCTAATATGTTGTGATCGAAGATCTGCATTTCTGGTTAGATACAAAGTAGGAAAAGCATATACAATATACCCGGATATTTGAAATTTATTAATAGGATTTCTATCTATATTCGGCCATATAAGAGAAATATTATTAGCTTGCATTCGATTAAGGATACTAGCAATAGTATATTCTTTATTAAGAGATGGAAGGGGTGTAGTAACAAAGTTGCTAGTAATAATTTTTTCAGCATCATCATTAATATTATCAAAATATTCACCCTCTACATCTTTGAGCTAGAGCAGCTAATCAATAATGGGTCCATTGTCAGGTAAGAATTGTAATATTTCATCATCAATAGCAATATCAGCATAATAATGATTATTTACTTTTAACCAATATAGTGCATGAGCAACCTTAATATGACAAACATTAAAATCTTAAATTCTATACTATTTGCAGACAGACGATGCACAACAAGAATATTTACTGATGATAGATACCAGGGAAGTCTAGTTGTAAACTCTGATACATCCTGTGGAAAGTTGATAATATTACTATGGTATGTATACTGATCTTCACGTAGAAATTAACATTTCTTTTATCTCAGTAAGCCCCTGTAATTTTTTAGATATATCACCTGGATCCATATTGTTTTCTTCTGAGAATTTTTTATAATATTTTTAGTATCATAATAACAATGATGACACTCTTTTCTTATGCCTATAAGCTCAATTAATGGAAAATATTCCTTACAAATAGAACATAATTTATTTGCAAGTTTATTAATCTTAGTACGAAAATTCCGTAAAAGATCTCAATCAGATTCAGAAAGCTGTTGTTCAATATTAACAGAAGGTGATTCTATATGCAATGAATTAGTATCCTGGTTCTGAGCATTATTGTTCTTTAGTTGACGTTTTGTTCTTTTCTGACGTCTTGACTCACATTCCCTTTTTAAATGCCTTTCACGTTCTTTAGCAGTTTCTGATTCCCTTTTTTTACACATATTTTTTTGTGATTGAATGCAATATTTTTCATTTTTATTATTTGGAGTTTTTATTTTTTTTTGTGCTTTATAATAGTTTAATTTTCAAGTGATTGACTAACAAAGTATTTTTTTTAAGCACCTTATTAACAGTGAGTTTTTTTAACTCAAATCAATTTATTAGAAAACTACTACAGGTAAAATTAATGAATATCAGATGCATACAGGGAAACAAGTTTCCTGCTATATATCTGATAGTCTGCCATAGATTCGCCAAATAACTGCTAAATAACAGTAGCATATTGGCAACATAATAGCAAATTTGGCAGATTTATGCAGACTATCAGGTATATAACAGGAAACTTGTCTTCCAGTATGCACCTAATATTCATTGATTCAACCTGTGTCTATATGTTAAATTAATATGAAAAAGCCTTATAAAAATGTAAATATATGAAATATTATTGAAATAACATAGTAATAATATATGAACTATATTTAAATTTTACATATATATATCTTGTATATTGTACAAATATATTAAATATAGTTTATTTTTGGAAGTATTATGTCGGGCATTAGCAATTAGTCCAAGTTGTTGTAAGACCCCAACCAAAGTTTTATCTCGAATTGTAATTCAAACAAGTACCTGTCCTTTAAGATAATTTATATCATTCATGTTTATGAATACAACCATATCTTTGAAAATGTACAGGACCCAAGTTATAGAAGATCTGCTAAACTACGCAGTAAAACCCATAAACATCAGTAGATCGACCAATCAAATCTATTTTTTTTTTTGCTTTTTGTTACAGATCAAACCTACTTATAAACTCTATCTTAACCCTTTAATCTGATTTCATTAACTGTTACAATGATTAAGCGTTATTGCTAGAGCTGTCACAGGAGTCGTTGGAGCTACAATAGAAATTCGTCAGTGCTGCTAGTAGTTGTAATTTTGTCATTGCTTAGTGTCTTTGGTAGATTTCACCATAGCCTTCGCTACTTATATATATTTTATTAAACATGTAAGCATATCTTTTTTTTTTGTTTTGCCTATTTGTTTCTTTTCATTATTAAATTTAACAATTTATATCTGATTTGCTTTTTATTACTTGCTTATTATAATATATTCCATAATGAAGTTGCAATTGAAATTGATGTTATGAATTTGATATTAGCTATACAAAAGATAAATTTTATTTCTAGCACTCTGTTTCCAGTTACTCCTAGTTTAATTCAGCATACTTATCCTTGTTTTTCTCTACCTAGTAATGATTTTCAAGTTTAAAATATTAAATTGATGTTGAGAATGAAACAGATAGTTTTTATTATTTATTTTTGTATACACAGATTGCTTTTTTTTTTGTCCAAATTTATTAATTGATCTTTTTTTTTGTAATGTAATAGCAACTTAAAAATTCTGCAAATATTTTATTCTCAGCTATCTCAAATCTGAAAAATATTGTTGACAATGAAAAAATATTTTAAAATAAAATATTATTATTGTGAGAACATTATGTCGTGGTGATAAAGAAAAAATATTGAACAACAGATTTTTGTCCATTATGGATATGCTAATAGTAAGCCTGCGATCATTCAATCACGTTATAAAAATTATTTATGAAATATTTCATTTATTATAGTTGGTTATGATTTCGTCATGGTTCTATTTTTATTTTCTTTAGTGCTGTTGTTTCGTTTTATTATTACTACCCATTTAGCAGGAGCTTTATTATTTGTATAGTACTTTTCCAGGTTCAAGTTTTAACTTTCCTATTTATCTATTTGTTCGTTTACATAAAATAGTTTCATAATATGGATAGTAAAACAACAGACATTCACAAACCAAATGAAAAGATTAAGCGATTGAAATGATTTGGGATATATAATGATAAGTATTAATTCTTTTATTTGTGAACTTGTTTTGCCGATTTTAATTCTAATTATTAATAAATTGTCTTTGTATTTGTGAACTGAATGAAATGATCAAAATGATTAACAACTAATACGATTTGAAAAATTTTTGTATTTACATGCCGAATGAAATAATTAAATGATCGAAATGAAATCTTTTCAATTATATTGAGATCATTTGAGTACTGCAAAGAAAAAATGGGTCTTCGGGCTTTCGAGGTTATTATTTTTTATTTACCAAATTTAGTGTATGAAAATCTAATCGATAACATGTATAGTATGCTGAATCTGGTAAATAACAAATAATGAACTTGAAAGCCCGAAACCTTATTTTTTCTTTGCAACAATCATTTTCAAACCTTACTCTACTAAATTTCAGAAATGTTTATCTCTTAGTTAAACTGGTTGTTTTGAAAGAAGTGATGTGAAAGCCTTCAAGCTTTACTTTACTGAAGCTAAGAAAAGCAAAGTAAAAGCCTTACTTTACTGAAATTCAGAAATGTTCAACTGTTATTTAACAGGTTGGCTTGAGCTAAGAAGAGTAAAGTAAAGTTTTTCAAGTTGAGTCTCAGAAATGTTCAGCTTTCGCTTCAACTAGTTGGCTTGATAAGCTAAGTGAATATTTTATTTAGCATGATTAATTACGGTATTTTTTTTCTGATAAAAACAAGGCATAACTATCTTTTTTCATTGCGATAATGAGTTCACTTGGTCGGCTAAATTAGTTTTAATTGATTAAAATTAAGTTATAGTCTATTAATTAGGTGCTTGAAAGCACCCTTAATTTTAAATTTCATTAGGGTTAGGACAGACAAATACTTATAAGGAATTTGGATATATTACGGAATGGTAGATAAGTATTTATATAAACTTGTTTTATAGTTTTTAATTCCAATGTTTAAGAAATGATTCTTCATACTTACAGGTTGAATGAAACTATTAATGCAAATGAAATAATTTGAAGATATTATATTACTGTAAATAAAGAGTAATTTTCATGAAGTGGTAATAATAAATTTATTCAGAGTTAGTTTTTTGGGTAAGAAATAGAACTAAAAATAGGATCGGTAAGTAGAAATGGGTTTTTGGTTATATAAGGTTGAGTTTAGGGTTAGAACAAAAAATGGAATTAGATAGTGAGAATAGTTAGTTAATTAATAAATAATAAATAAAAGTTTTATTATGTATATACATACTTTATAATATATTGAATGTACCAGGTGGGTAAAAAATTTCCGAACAGAACCTTTTAATATCTCTATTTATAGGGGTTAGGGTCCCATAATCTAGTGGTCTAGGTGCCTAATCCTCCACAAATAAGGTCAACAGTTCGATTACAGCTGGTGGTAATTAATTTAATTAATTATCTTTGTAACCTATAGGAGCTTTCGAATGCGAAACCCTGTGATAATAAGACCATGTGAAGTACTTATTTGGCCTATAAAGAATTCTTGGAAGGAGTCCCGAGTTGTAGAGAAGACTAGGCACTACGTATGACATGGCGTCACAGAAAGTAATACCACATAAGGCTGTGCATGTAAATCCTTGATTGGCTAGGTAGCACCAACAACCCTAAGGCGGTCTTGGGGATCTTGATTG